CACACACACACACACACACACACACACACACACACACACACACACACATTAAAATCTTCAGTGTTGAAGTGTAACATGTTACAAAGGTAGACACAGATATAGGGCCAGGGGCGGACAGGCCACCGGGACGTTCGGGACAAATCCCGATGGGCCAGTACTGAAGTGGGCCACCCCCTGTCGACAATTTTCTAGCCGTATTTACTTGCGGTACCGAATTGGGCCGGTCGAGAGTCCCGGGCTGATTTGTAGTCCCGCCAAGTTTGCTGTTTATACATTTAGAACTTTGCTTAGAAAGTGGCGTATGCATTCTTTTGAGCAGGCACAATGTTAAGCAAGAGGGCATGTTCTCTCCCCTCAGTCCTGAGAATTGTACGACTACAGTATAGTGCATAAAGGTTGCGGTGCACATTGATTGTCCTGATTTGTGATTGTTGGACTCTAACAGTCTTAAGGAGGCAGAAGCTCAATCCGTAGGGGCTTGGTTTATAGAACAGATTGTCAACGGAGGGTTCAATAAAGTATGCCTTATTCTTCTATTTGAGATTGTGATCTAAGCAGATTAGAACTTGCTCAAGTGGGTATCCTGCAATTGGTGGACTTAAAGAGGGTTTATACAATCAAAGAAATGTTATAAAGAATAACTTTTGAGCTTTGGTTACATGTGTGTTGGGTAAGGATGGAACCCCTGGCCAGCATCTCGTTAATAACATGTTAACTGAACGATTAATCGATTTTAAATCGAATTCGCGATTTGAAATGATGCGATTATCAAATCGCAAAGCCTGTGATTTTTTTTTACTTTTTTTTTTTTTTTTTCTTGTGTGTCAGTCATCCACACCAATCAGAAGTGCTGTGCTCCACATGTACCAGCCATTGTTAACCACTCAGAAGTGGCCCATGATAGAAGGTGATAGACAGATTGATCCAATAGGCGCGTTCACACCGCAGTACTTTTCCCACAAAGGTTCATGAGAACTTAGTTCATCAGAACTCTCTAGTTCTGATGAACTAAGTACAGATCGCGTTCACACCAGAATAAGTCCCTGAGGGAGGATTAGGCAAATGAAGCCGCTGTCGTCACTTCTTCTTCTTCTGCTTTGGGTTTACTGGCGCACCGCAAACAACTTCACGGCGTATACTGCCACCCGGAGTCCCCGGAGTTGGTGAAGGCTTCAGTAGAAGCTGCTGGGACTCCCAGCAGCTTCTACTGAAGCCTTTAGAGTAAATCGCCAGAACGCCGACACCTCCTCATCTCCACCGCTCCCATGTTTTTTTTTGTGTTGCCATAAGTTAGTCTCTCTGCGTTTCTGTGCTGGGCTAATACTAATGCTAATCATGCTAATGCAAGGATAATAAAATGGCGGCTTCACAAAACTTTTTGGGAGTTTGACGGGCGTGGTTTGCATTCCGCCCAGCCAATCAGACATAGGAACCTTTTTCTCCCACGGAAGTACCTGCTCTATAGCAGGGACTGAAAATGGAGTGAAAAGGTTCTCATTAACTAATTTTAGTTCGGGCTGTTTTTGGTGTGAACGCGACATTTCGGAACTATGTCGGAACTAAAGTGGGAAAAGTACTGCGGTGTGAACGCGGCTAATCACCTGCCAAGTATTTTTTAAAGTGCCTGCCCTTTTCTAAATGGCTTCCAATGGAGCTCTCCTAGATGGTTTGGTGAAACAAACCATCTAAGTCAGGTTAGTAATGATCACATGTGTTACATCTATTACAGGGTGAATCTTAAACTGAAGCTTGACTTTAAAACAACCCAACAGAAGTTTCATGTAAGTTTACTTCTTTCACTCGTAGCTCGGGCTGCGGGGGTGCTAGAGACGGGAGCATGTTGATACGACCTTCCTAGCCGGAGTTATAGCCGGATTTTACAATAAACTTACATTGGGTCGCTTAAAAACAAATATCGCAATTCGAATCGCAATATTTGTCAGAAAAATCGCAATTAGATTTTTTCCCAAAATCGTGCAGCCCTATAAACAACATCATAAACATCAGCTCTGACATTTCAGCTCACCTCTACTTGGTTCCACAATGCCGGTGAAGATGCACTTCAAAGCAGATGGCTCTGTGTTTTTATTTGTATTGATCTTTGTTTCCACCTGTACACAGTACTCTGTACCATTCTGTAGGTTGGTCAGAGTAATACTCGTTTCTCTTGTTTCCATGGACCACTTCATCTAAATATGGAGAATGAACTTGATTACAATTAGGTCCTTTATTAAGGTGCAATAAAAGTGAGCGACATGTGGGAGGTTGGGTTTACTGTGTGCGAGATATAGAACATTTTACAATCATTCAAAGAAATACCTAGTATGACATAAAGTGAGATATGGACGTCTTACCCCTTCTTCTTCCGGTTTCCACCAAGACACTACGAAGCGAGCGCCATAAAATGTCTTCATACTCTTATTAAGTTTTGCACTCCTGTCAGCTTCAGGGAAGGAAATGTTGACCTGGATGCAGTTGCCACATCCAAGTAGTGAGGCATTTGGTGGACCTATTTTAGCTTGTGACAAGAAGAAAGAATATACAAATATGAAAGACAAAAATAATCCCTCTCAATCATAAGTTACAGAATTGTGTGGTGGTGTCTCAGAGGATCTCCAAAGTCTGTAGGAATTTCATGAGAAGCCATCCCATCAATGTTAAAACATTTCCTCCAGCATCTCATTAGGCTTAAAAACAATTGATAGGAAGGCTATGCAATGAATGACATCATCAAGGCATGTAGGTTTTTATTAGATTGAAAAGTAGGCTATTCTTTTTTAAAACAAGTCCTGTTGATTGCATGATGCAAAATAACAAAAAACACACAAGCCTACACCGTTGCTGTTCACACAAAGAATCTCCCTCCACTTTGGGCCTACTCATATAGAAAGTGAAACTGGAGACGGAGACCACCAGCTACCTCCACCAGTTTGGCCACTCAGAATAGATTCAACCCTCCTTAAACAATGTAGCATCATGCTGCTTGTGGCAATGATTACAGGGGCTGGGGCTGACAGCTATTTTCATGTTATGCTACTTTGTACTACTTTACTACATTTTGGAAGCCACTTTTTTATTTTTAATTCCACTACATTTATTTTACAGATTTATAGTTACTTTATCAATTCAGATTTTGGGTCACAATAGAAAAATCTTTTAGAATATGATTATTTGGTATAAATGTAACCATCCAACATTGTATTTAAGTAACTAAAACCATGAGTGGGTTAACAGAAAATGTATTGCCAGCGATTATTTAATAAAACAATATTTCACAGTAACAGCTTCTTAGATGTGAAGATTTGCTTTAAAATATTCTAAACTATATCAAAGAAGAAAAAGTGTTTAGTTTAAGTTAGGGCTGCTCAATTAATCATATTTTAATCGCAATTACGATTTTGGCTTGCAACGATTATGAAAACAACATAATCGAAATAAAACGGTTATTGGTTTTTCAGTTGAATTATACTTAAGGATCAGGGCAATCAACTGTTAAAAACATACTGTTAAACTTTTTTTTTCAATAAATTGATGTTTTCAAAGTAAATGGATAATCGCTTTTAATAATCGTGATATCAATTATTGACCCAAATAATCGAGATTATGATTTTTGCCATAATCGAGCAGCCCTAGTTTGAGTACATTTTTCCTAATTGTATTTAAATACTTTCACATAAATCACATTCTTGTTACAGTGCTTTTACTTGAAATTGAGTATTTGTATTTGTACTTTTACTCAAGTAAAGAATCTGAATACTTTTCCACCACTGGTGCAGTTAATTTGGGCTGGGGTGAAAGCTCTGGATTGAAGCCTGGTGCTGACCAAACAGCCAGGCTCAACCTCAAAAGGTGGGTCTCGGACTTTTAAAGTGTAAAGAAGTCCAATCAACATGTTTCCTGTCATGCGTAAAACTTCATGTATACTCTGCATAGTTTGTGTAAAAAGTCAGTGTGAACGGGAATCGGATCAGAACTAAAACGCAGCTATGTCTCTCTTTTCCCCTGGTCTGGACCAAATGAACGGTACTGGTGTGAATGAACCCTTAGCCTTATCTCATAGCAACCAATGTATTATTTCATTCAATAAATCCAAGGTAAAAACCATGCAGGTAAAAAGATGCTCATGTGACGTACTTTGTGTGAAAGGTTGGAAGATGTATGGTTTGGACTCTGCAGACAGGGTTTGGTTGTAAGACGCCTGGACAGTCAGCTCATATTCGACTTCGCTCTTAAGTTTCAGCTTAATGGATGTAGTCTTTGAGGACGGTGTCTTTTTGCTTGCTTTCTTCTCCACCCTGCAGAAAGAGAAACATAGAAAATACTAGTAATGACTATTATTACACTTGTGATTAATCACCGATTGTTATTGTGATTAGTACGATACATTTTTTAAACCTATTGACAGCACTTGTCTAAATAGTTCCTGGTCAACAATGATGACCTATGGCACAGAGGAAGTAGATTGCGCTTCATATTCACACACAATACTGTTAGTAGGATCATCTTTGTTGGTTTTCCTTTTTCCAAAGGATTTGGTCAGAACATTTCCCCTTTACAATTTAGTAACACAGTGAAGAAATAACACGAATGGCTTGCTAAGATTACCATAACACATGAGCATTTCAACGGTTGTAAGTTCAATACATCATTGAAATAAACCATGTGAATTCAGTTCTGTCAAAGCAAATACAATCATATGTAATATGAACCTTCACAATGACTGTCAAAACCAAAGATTAGATCATGTGAAACTAGACACACACAAACACTCCTTCCCAAAGCTTTTTATAGGAGAATCATCAGTTCCTTAAAAACAATCAGCGGGCCCCTCTGTGGCCACAGCTGCTTTGCACACTCTAGATACAACAACAAATGGAAACAAACAGCGCTCTGACCATCATTCACGGTCCACAAAAGTAGAGGTTAAAGAGTTAAAAAGTTCCACCCACTCAGAAATTCCATCAAAGAAGGCGCTTTAGTTAGCCTCAGATTTACAGACAGACGATCGGAGTGAAAACGTCACCAAATGAAAAGGTTGCGGTTTTCACTCGCGGTTGTTCAGGGAGGCTGATAAAACTGAAAAGGCTGATATGACGTGACAAAAGATTTTCGAACTATATTCACTAAATATTTGGTGACTGATAGCAGTAGTTTGGGCAAACTGGGCATAGTTTCTGGGAGTCACCAGATGTTTACGGTGGTCAAAATAAAATAATAAAATAACATACATCTGAAGGATTTTTTTTGACATCATAAGGGATATCATTTTCCTGGAGTACATTTAATGAATTTGAGTGTCTGAGGGGGGATTTCAAAGAATGCATCAAACAGCCACAGTGCGTGGAGCACATCGGACACCGGCTAGGTGCTACAGTAACTGCGTAAAGTCAAAAACACCTGATTTTTCTGGGGTGGGGGTCACAAATCCAAAAGGCTAAGAACACCGGTCTATAGAACTGCAGTCTGACATCAAGAGTTAAGGACCTATTGTCTTGTGTGCACTACATGCAAGATTTTGTTTCCACTCGGCTGAATTGAACATAGATTATGCATACTGACACCAAAGCCGCTGTAAAGGTTTGATTGGCAGAAAGTAGCTCTCTGTAATTCCCCACTGTGTTTCACTACCGATACAAAGGCTGGCAGCCTACGGGTGTATAGTTCTAACATATTAACCACAACATCCTTGGCCCTACTGGGGACCTTTGTTGCATGTCAGCCCCCCCATCTCTGATTCCTTTCATTTCCTGTTGTCTCTCGTCTGTGTCTAGGCTGAAGGTAGAGAAGCTGTCCCCAGGATGTATCCTGACTGAGAAAATGTTATACATCCAAGGACATGTTTTTCTTTAAAGGAAAAATCTGATTAGTAACAACTTGGGTTTACACTAAAGAATTCTCAAATCAGTGTCCGCTTGACTCTGTCCGAGAGCTTTCGAATCAATTAGAGTCAACTTTGGTCAGTTGTCATGGAATTGATCAAACGTTCTATTATTCTGAACTCTTTAACCCTTAGATGCACGAGTGACTGGACCCTACACTCTTCCATAAGTGGGTCAAAAAGGACCCGTATTAGAATAATGTGTTTTTATGCCATTTTTGTGATTTTGGTTAAGAAAAATCACTTGTATAATATTTAGTATTATATTTTGGTTCACACTAGAAATATTTTATATTTAATTTTGCACTATTTATAATTTTAGAAATTGTATTTACATTTAAAAAAAAAAAAAACGTCCATAGAAAATGCATGCGGGTAATTTTTGACCCACTTATGGAAGCTTGGGGTAGTAAAAAAAAACTATAATTTTTTTAAATGTAAATTAAAAAAGTGAATGCCATGATATCCAGAACATGTTTTTTGAGGAATAGCTGGAATATGAAATGATACAAAAATGTAATTACAAAGATACTTCAGGAAAACCACCTCACCGGGTCCAAAAAAAAACACTTATGGAAGCTTGGGGTAGTAATACAAAAACTACAATTTCTTAAAATGTATAACATTTAAATTAAAAATTTGAATGGCATGATATTCAAAACATGTTTTTTGAGGAATAGCTGGAATATGAAATGATAAAAAAAGGTAATTACAAAGATACTCTAAGAAAACCACTTCACCGGGTCAAAAAAGACCCACTTATGCATCTAAGGGTTAAGGAAGTGAAGTTGACTTTGAGTGGAAATTGTTGTCAACAGGTTCAAGAAACAACTGTCAAGCTTAACTTGGCTTTTTCCTACAATCCTCAATCAGTTACATCTGATAGGTTAACATTACCAGAGGACCAAAGTACACACATGTTCATAAATTGCTGCTCATGATCTCATAAAGCACCAGAACACGGTGGTATGTAAGGCATGTCTTTAGCAGCTTGGTTAATAATTGTACTGCCTGCTTACGTCTTTCATCAAATGCTGTCTGTCAGCTTGAGCTGGATTGATGTTCAGTGATACTACCACATTTCTAGATCCTCATCCCTAAACAGTGAGTAAATGACTATCATAACCATAGAACAGATGTTATGAGTTGTGACAATAAAAGTCAAGTTGTAACAAATTATAGTTTTCCTTGAATCACAACTCCTATACGTGAGCTGTCACTTTATACATTAATTACAAATATTCTATTAGTTATGTTATCTTGGTGAGCGAGGTGCTCATCAGGATTGATGAACATTCAAACACACAATCACAGCCCTCAGGAGCCGTTTAGGGTTCAGTGTCTTTTACAAAGACCTTTCTTCATTCCAGTGATACTGAGAGAACCATATCCGCCCCACATACCATCTACACCACATGTGCATACTGATATGACTGGCTTATTACAAAGGCAATTCAAAGGAATATTAAAAACATGTTTTCTTGCAGATATGATGACAGTTAGATGAAGTTTGAAGGAGGGAGATCATTATTCCAAATGCTAGATGATCTGTCTTAGCTTGAGCATAATACAGATTTGATGAATCTAAAGTAAAGTATGGAAAAATTAAGCTTCTTTTGGAAATAAGTATAAATAATTCACTTTTGTTTCTTGAAAGCAAAAAACAACGTGTCCTGTAATTGGCTTCACAGAAGTATGCTGTGGGGTTTCCCAGAGAGTGAAACTAAGATGCTGCACCCCTGTTTTTTCCCCATCTTCAAGCTGTATGGTATGCTGATATGTATTACTGATATTGATATGTATTTTGATAGTTAATTAGAATATTGAAATTATTTGTCATTATAAACAATTTCCCAAATTGATAAAAAAATACGTGTTTAAAAAAAAATGAAACCACATTTATACGCAAGCAACGGAAAGCAACTCGAACTTTGCCTGCATTGCAGAAAGCAGTCAGGTAGTGGGTGCTGGAAAGCGTACAACACTACCGAAGAAAAAAGGTTGTGGTTAGATACCCGGCCCAAGGACATACTGGCGCTCGTATGAGTACGATTTTTAGAATGCAGTCTAATGGGACGTATTCTCCTACCCAGTGTACAATAATAGCTCCATTTACAAGCCAAATGATGGTACATTTGCAAAAAGCAAGAAGATTTGCATTACTTACGCGCTAAAAACAAAACAACAATAATCTGTCTGCTGGCTGGTAAGTGGTAACTAACACCTTGCTCCTACCCAAAGACCAAACTGCCATCAGACCATGTGCTGTAGGACATAAAAGCAGCCAATAAGACAGCGGGCGGGGGAAATACCTCTTGATGATTTTGTAATTTGTTCCTTGTGGGGTGCCGGGACCAGGATCCCAACTCAAGATATGGCGGAAGTTGACAGATTCCATAGAAAGATTGACCGGAGCAGGAAGGGAGCTGATAACTGTGTTAACAGGAAGTACATGATGGATTCAGAGCTACGAAGCAGCAGAAGGTACAAAGACACACTCGGCAGGACACATTAAGGACTCGTCAGATCTGATAACAGTGAGCAGTGTAGAGGAGAACAGAATCTGAGGTATTTGACAAATGTTTACGTAAATTATCTCATCTGATTGATCTTGGTTTACTTACCAGAATCAAGAAGGGACATGAGATAAAGAACTAGAGGCAGGCAGTCCATCCTTTCCTCACAAAGGCCCGGGCAGTGTGTGTCTCTCAGCCTCCGTACATGGCATGGTTACTGTGGAGAACAGAGCACAGGGATCCTTAGATCAGGTGTGAATAACTCACTTACATGGTAAACAGGCAGAGGTGGATAAAGTACTCTGATCCTTTTCATCAGCAAAATCAAAATACTAAGGTTTTTAAATACTCCATTACAAGTAAGAATCCAGAATTCAGAAATTTACTGAGTAAAAATACAAAAGTATCAGGATCAAAATAACTAATTTGGCATAATGGCCAGTAACATCAAGTGCAAAGTATTATCAACCAAATGTACTGAAAGTATCAAAACTAAAAGTAGACTTTATGAAGAATGGCTCTCTTAAAGTATTTCATTATAAGATAATTTTATATTATTCTGTTTTTATGTATTCCAAAATAATCTTTCCATTCTTTTTTTTAAAGCTTAAAATGTAGTTTATTCAAGCTCACGCAATGTAGACAATGACATGAGGCTCATGAGTACTAGTACTAGCAGTGTTGGAAGAAGTACTTTAATTAAGTAAAAGTACAGTACATTATTAGCATTGAAATATACTTAAAGTACAAAAAGTAGAAGTACTCTATCTGAACTATGGCTTATTTCAAAAATACAAATGTAGATATTTAGATGTAGTTTGAATTACAGTACTGCATTTGACCATATCATCATATCATGTGTTTGACATGTACAAAGTAACTACGTAGTAACTGAGTGTTAAATAAATGTAATGAAGTAAATAGCAAAAATAATCACCTCTGAAATGTGGTCTGAAAAGTTTGAAATAGCATTAAATTGATATACTCAAATATACTACAAGCATGTCAAAACATTACTAAAGTGCAATACTTCGGTAAATATGATGACACCACTGTATATCATAATCATGTCCCAAATACTGGCTATGGTGTTTTTATTAACAGAGTTTAGGCTGGCATAACTGATCAACAAAAAGTGAATTTAACTTAATTCTAACATAAAGGGAAATACAACGTAGTATTCGTAATACACTTAACATTAGCGCTTATCTTCTGAGGAAGTTCAATGCTAACTTAGTTGCTGTATTAGCTTACAGTTGTTCTCCTAGTCATAGTAAATACAGGTTGATCCGCATTTACAGAGCACTGGCAGGCTGAGTGGCATTTCTGTTCTTGTTTAACTCTTATAAACAGTACTGTTAACTTATAGGTAAAACACAAACTAACATTCCCACCCATGACATTGACTCTTCAGTTAACACTCACCGACACAGGCTGACAGGCGTTTCAATGTCCAAGAAAGAAAAGCGAAATATACGTGCTGTCAACAGTTTGCCCAAAGTGACGTCAGAATACACTGAAGATACATCTACTTCCTGTCGCGCCTTCAATGTAAAATTCTTACTGTCAAATACCTGTGGCAACATTTCAGTTAAAAGACAAAAGGAATGTACTGCAGCGTAGGTTTGTCACATAAGGTTCATTTAATCGTTCTGTACAATCTTTTATACATTTAATTCCCATGGCTTTCGATGTATTAAAGTACCACTTATTATACCTTTCTCTGTCTATGTTAAGTATACAATGTTACCAACTTTACCTGATCTTGTTATCTCATATTTATGTAATACCTTAGCAGCATGTAGGCCTACTCAGATTATTTACAGTGCTTTAGTAAATGTACTTAGTAACATTACACCACTGTCAACAGGTAGGATAAGCATAATGGCCGGCATGGATATCATTTTGCATAATGGAAAATTGTTGTATTAGATATGGCTTTTAAAAAGTGGTCCCTATAATTATATGTTGTAGTCTCCATCTGACGTGATGACAAACTTCTTCGGTGTTTTCCAGGCTGAGCAGTGAGCATTTTACCTTGTAATTGGTGCAGTGGCCACAAGAGGGCGCTGAAAGAAAGGGTAAAAACGTAGCTCTCCATTACATAATACTTTATTCACAGACACCGAGAAGGTCCAGTCCCTGGGGATCAGTGTGAAACGGTCATGTGTTATCCTCTGATATGTTTTATACTTTTTCTGTGATATTGGAATTATCCCCTAGAGAGGCTTTTGAGTGATACCCAATTTCACTGCAGAAGTTAAGAAAAAATTATTTAAAGCTGCAATATGGAATCTTCACTTTAGTGTCATTTGAGGTTTTTGGTGCTTGTGATCCAGTTCCCAGCTGGTTGATAACATGTTTACTTTTCTAAGCAGCAAATCAGGCTCCACTTGATATTCCACAACATCTTCATTTTTTATCTAAATAAAATTGACATTTCAAGTGTATGTTGTTAATTATAGTGGTCTATAACAGCAGTCCAACATTGATTTAGCTAGCTAAAGGAATCTTCTCACCCCATCACACACTGATGAACACAGACGTGGGTACGGAAGGAAGTTATATCATACTGAATGCACCTGATCCCAAATTCATGTGAATGGAATAAGTAGTTATTGTTCAGAGATATATCCATCTGCTATCACAGGTAAAATATTATAATACACATTTTTTATTTTATATATATAAAAATATATGATTATAATTATTAATCATAATCATAACAATAATCGTTTTATTATTGTTATTTTTTCTTTTTTAGTGAGAAGGCGAGCATAATTTGGGTAAATAACTATGAGAGATTTAGCAATAATTCCGAGTGGAAATAACATACCTACCTCACAGTGTTAATTGCTGAAATGTGGAAATGTAACGACAAAACTTAATTTTCTGATCTGTTGCCTGTAGTCAAGAAACCCTAATTTATATTAAATCATAACATTTGTTTAATGTCCAAAGCCAAAAATTTCTTTCCCATAATGTCTGAACTGGCAGCTTCGACATGGAGAGACACAAGTCTCCTGTGTTGGGAGGTTGGGAGGGTTACTTTAAAAATGTAATTCATTACAATAGTTACATGTCACAAAATGTGACAATGTAAGATGTTTTTTAATTAAGTGTATATTTAACCTTAGAAAAGAAGAAAACAATATATCTAATATCAAAAGTGTAACAGTAATAGTTTACAAATGCCGTTTAAACGTAATACATTATAAAAAGCAAACTGTATTTTTGTTTAATAAATCAGGTGTCCACCTGCTGCATTAAAAAGAAAAATGTATTTAAAATGAACAATAATTAAAGTAGCCTAAATATAAACCATAAAGAAAATCCATTCAGTACGTTTACCTATAATATATTTATCTCTATTTCTAAATGTATTGTAATAATGCTAATCTCAATTTTTAATAATATTTTTATAATGTAATTTTATTCCAATACAGTTCCCTTTTTTGTATCCTTATTACGTACTCCCGTTAAATGTAATCCATTACTCATCAAGCCTGCTGACTGCTCATGTTTCTTGTCCTGTCATCCTTAGTTAGCAGTGTTGCCGTGACCTAAACAAGAACTTTGGTGAGTACATAGAAAAGATGTTTATGCAGCATGTTTAGAAATGAGCAATATGGTCAAAGAAAGAAAAACTTGCACTGAAATGTGGTCTTAAGAAAGCTACAAATGATCGAATTGAAGCAGATACACTGAGTAGTAATCATCAATGGGAGCTTCAACAACATAGATGAAGCTAGAAAGCTCAAATCTGAAGTTTTACACGGAAAAAAAAGAAACAGAAACAACCAAAAAAAGTATTTTATTTTCTCAGGCTATACAGAGGGACAAAGTGTGTGGGCAAAATGAACAATCCACATCGTCTTTCATGATAAACAAATTAGCTCCTGGAATCTTCTTAAATAAGCCAAATTATATACAAATCAAACCTCTCAAGCCAGTCCTAAATACACAAGCCGTTCTTAAAACAGTACACGATTCACTCAACATGTCAACAGTTGTACAAATGCAGATCTGCTGTCATGTGTTCCAACCTAAGGCGCATTAGCCTTGGCTTACACATTACAAATCTGTGTTTTACATTTGAATAATTACATTCCCTGATGCATTACTTAAGGTGCGGTGATGAAGATTAAGACAGAGAAAAAAAGAAAGAGAAAGAAAAGGAGGTCGAGGCTCCAACACAAAAGAGTGATGTCAAACCCAAAAAACCCAGTGATCTCATTTTCAATCATTTTGTGGTGGAATGTTCCAGACGTTTTAATGCTGTGCTGAAGGGAGCATGAGCACCAAGTCTCATGGCCTGCTCTGACAATCCTGTCTGAAAAGCATTAATAGGTGTGTAATCACCCCGTTCACCAGATGGGAGTGACTAAATGCGGATTTCTCGGTAAGAGCAATAATGTTATGGGTGGGTGAACTCCCTGTCTGTTCCTCTGCTGAACACTGGCTGTTAAATGTTGGCGCAAAGGCAACAAAAAGGTGTCTGGAACGCCTTTCAGTACCAACTCCTCTTTACTGAGCAACTTGCCATGCTCTGGCTGTATTATTTCCAGATGGTAATCATCGCAGTTACAAAGGCATTCATTTTTGCCTGTTGCATAATGAAATGTGTTTCCATTCAACAAAGAAAGAGCCACGGTTAAGTATTGTTTCAGAAAAGGGGCATGGTAAAACTTCCAGGCCCAGGCAGTATAGTCATCATCCTGTTTCCATACACAAGTGTTAAAGAAACAGTAATGCCACATTTCCACTGCATGGCACAGCCGCTAGGGCTCTAATCAGCTCCACTGGCACTGTTTGGTTTCCATTTGCAAAAGTTGTTTATACTTTCTTTGGGAACACCATGGTGGAGGTCCGAAGCGAGGTTAGCCAAAAAAACAGGGGTGGACCACTGATCAATCATAGAGAATTGTCACAGGAAACAAACATGTAGTAATGATATTATCCATACAATTCAGGAAGGACCTCTGTTTTGGTTGCTAATGAAAGGATTCTGCAAGTGTCTTGTTGACAGTGCAGAGGGTGGTAGTGTCTGCAGTTGAACACAAAATCAATAAAAGCCCCAGGTACCAAAAGAGAGCCTTACCATGAAGTGGAAAGAAGCAGTAAGAAGTGCAAATGTTGCAAGTGTGCAGCTTTAACAAATAACACGGCAGGAAAAAATAAAGTATACACAAAACTAAATAAAGACAGTAAAGTCTTTAAATAATTGTAAATAGGTGAAAAGATCAGTATAAGCTCAAATAATGGTAAGTATCATAGAAGAAGGTGATTTACACAGCATGATGGAGGCCACTAATGTGCCTTTGCAGTTCCATTCTGCCTTAAGTGAGCTGTTTTCAGTAAAAGGCCACTGGACAGAGTATGCTCAGCATTAAGCAGCAGACAGACACAGTTAGAGACAAGAGGGTAAACAAAGTGGAGCAGTAAGCAGCTGAACAGAGCTAACATAATAGATAGTATAGGACTTACATTTGACATAAAAATACAAAACTAAATAACTGAAAAATAAAAATCAGGTTGAAATGGAATTTTAGAATCAATAGTTGCAGTAGCGACAACAGACTTATGGCTAATGTAAAATATGCAATGTAAGTTTTAACGCATCTAAAGTAGCACTGTTTTGATTTGTTCTAATTACCAAATTTTTCTTGGTATATAAATTAGAGGCACTCAACATGGTGCAAAATCCTGACACAGTGTTTAATCCCTGTTCCTCTGGGAGTAACTGGGCAAGTATCTATTTTCCTTTCTTTTTCTTCAAATGTTTGCATCATGAAGCTGTTTTAAAACTCTTTGAATGAGTTGATCCCCTAAATATAGAAAACTATGGAGTTATTAAGTTATACACCGTGAGTCTTTTGAGCAACTGTGTACTGCACACATTCTATCTGTGAATGTATCACTGTGATGTTGAATTAAACCCAATTCACTGTGATGTTGGCAAAAAGGAGATAACACACACCCATGTTGCTTCAATTGCACACACACACACACACACACACACACACACACACACACACACACACACACACACACACACACACACACACACACACACACACACACACACACACACACACACACGGGTGATTGAATGATCTGCGGAACAGAAGTGTTGGCCCTGGAATCTGGATTGTGTTTGTGAGAGCAGCTTTAAGCAAGTCTCTCACAGGATATGAGCTGGAACCAGAGAGCAGACGAAAGCATGAAACAACCTTGACTTCTTTTTTTCCAAACTGTCCTGTAATCCCTCTCACATTCAGCGTAAGTGACTGCAAATACTATCCAGAGACAAAACGCAGACCACTGAGGAAGTTCAGGGAAATTCAGAGTGACGCCTTCTCTCTCCCTTCCTGCTCTATCCTTAAAGAGAGCAGCCATCTTGGCTCTTAGCTTGCTGATAAGCGCATAACTCAATCAACTAAACAGAGTCATTGTCCTGATCCAAACACAGTGCTAATAGTTGCCTGGTGACATAGGGTCCTAACAATCTTGTTAATTGGCCGTCCATTCTAACCTGTTACAAAACAACTTGTTTTATTAAGCCATCTGCACTCAATAAGAGCAGCTGGGAAAACGCAGCAGCCTACTGCGCCTCCTCATACAACAGCAGACTGACACAGTCCTTGTCCTCCATTTTTCTGTTTACTTATACTATCTTCTATGTTTTTGCCCCGGACAGCTGTCCTAATCTGGACAAAAGACAGTTAGACTATAATTTACTTTAAATATATATCTTTAACAAAGTAAAACCACTTTTAGAGCTCCCTTCCCGACTGAAGATATCCTCCAGCCCCGGTGCACAGGCTGACCCCACACTGGATTGTTTGGACAGGTTCCAGCCAGTGTTCACTGGAATCAGCTGCCACAAAACATCTTGTTTTTTATTGTGCTCTATTGATCCCTGAGGCATGCATTTGTTCTTTAGCTTTCTCCTTTCCCCACAGCAAGTCATTTATTGAGACTGCAGCGTACAGCAGTCTGACATGAAGGTGAACTACAAGACCCGCCACATGTTGCAAATTAGAACTGTAGATACAACGCAGACATCTATAAACCCTTTACAATTTACCAAATATGGCATGGCTTTCATCCAGTTGGATAAACATTCTTTAATCCAGGGCTGCATTAAACCTCGGACTCCGTTACTTTGTAAAAACCATTGTCCTGCGAAAATGGTTCTTATTAACAGTCTTTGTCCTTGTGTTATGCTGTCTTCAAACCAACGTTTCAGAGCAACACAAGTTTGACCGCGGTATGTATTGCTAACAAGCTTATCTGAATTACTACAGCAGTTTGAACCAAAGCTAACCCAATTTTGATGTGATTTTATTGCAATACATTTGCACAGATTTAAGTATGTTGAAACTATATGATGCAGATTTGAAGGGTTCTGACTTTATTTCCGTCCGCAAGACGCCAAGCAAACCGTTTTTAAAACACTTGTTTTCTCAATGGAGCTCGATCAGGTCTATGTTAACAATGTAGCCTCTTCGCCAACACTAAAAATTAAGTCATCTAAATAAGGAATAAATGCAGCGGCCATGTTACTGTTATACACGCCATGTTACTTTAAAATCGTGTTAACTCATCCACATGTGGGGCGTTTATGATTATTTATTGATGATAGCCAACACAGCGTTCCTTAATTTCTGATCAAACAACGTCATGATGTCAGCGTCAAACTAACTCATCGACCAAGTGGCAAATGTTCAATGTTCGGGCGCGATTCGAGAAAAATTTGCTTCACTTTTGGGATTAAAACCTCATTAATACATCAAATCAATTAGCCTGGGACAGGCTTCTCATCATTCACATCAAACTACAATGCACTGGGGGAGGAACACTTGATGATGGTGGTGTACACACCCATACATCATTTTCAGACTCATGGAACCATTGAGTAAGCCCTTGTATCCTGTAGGAAAAAATCATTAATTTTTCAGTTTCTCCACTGATATATTCAAGTTTCTCTTTTCACTCATCAACTGCCTTCATATCAATCAGAAACAACTGCACCCTACTGTCCATGCAATCCTTCTGCCTTGATATATCTGACTACACCTAGATTGGCGAGGAGCTAACATAATATTGGCAGCTGTTAGTGGGGTCTTGAACATCTCACCCTGTGGATATTATTGTTGTGGTGTATGATTCCATCTGGACAGTTGTAGCTACACTGTGGTTACACTTGTCACATGTTCACCTGCTGGGTGTCATCGGATCAACACTTGAAAGCTGGGCTACAAAACCAGCTTGAGCTCACAATACTGTCAAGTGTTCCGGATCTAATGTGAAAATTGGCAGTTGGAAAGAAAATGTTCAAGGCCAGATGTGGACACGCAGTGATGTGACCTCCATAATAACTTGTGTTATAATGTCAGGCGTAACCCATGGCCTGTGTGGCGTCCTATTGTCAGAGTGAACACGGAGAGTAGTATTTACGAGAACATCTGCAGATAAGCTGCTAACACTCGATTTAAGAGCTTAAAAATGTAAGCTCTTATTGAGATTATAAGAAGGTTTGATGAGATCCAACATTAGCTCTAATAGTGAACCATGTTAACAGCTTGTTCTTGTATAAGCTTTTTTCCATGAACTCATTCCTCCGCATAAACATATTTGGGTACCTCCTAGTAAGGCAAACTTTTAAAGGGTTTTTACTTTTTCTAGTAAAAAACAAAACTTTTTCTAGTTACTATCTTTGCCTTTACAAATGGTTAACAAATGATTGACTAATGCTTTATGATAACTTAACAGCCATTATAATCAGAAGTTGCCAAGTTGCTTAAATTACTTTGTCTATAAAGAGTGTCAATGTTATAACCATTTAATTTAAACGTAAATAATTTAATTAAGTAATTATCGACTGACTTTTTTATAATTCACTTTATTTTGCTTATTAGAAAGTAAAATACCAATATTTTTTCACAACCTGGCAACCCAAAACTCACTTACTTAAAAACGGGCTTATGTCTTCTTCCTGCCATGAATGTGGACATGGGAAGAAATATTCAAATTGTAATTCCCTCTTTCTCAGCTCACAGCCCTACAGTATGATCCATGAAGCATTAGTAAATTGTTAAGCATGGATATTGTGCTTACATGATAATATTTCCGCATGTAAACACACCATGTATCTACACCCAAATATGAGCTGCAGTTCCAAAACATTAGCACAAGTAAAGCATCGCATAGATAGACGTGAGAATCAAGGCCGTTACAGCTTCAACATTATTTATGTTGTATAAGGATACCAACAATATTCTAAAGAAAGGCATGACTCGGTAGCTTCTGTTAACGTTCCCAAACCTTGTGTTTGTGTGTTTGTCTGCATTATCTTTCAGGGGTGGGAAGCAAACATGTGAGAATCCTGGAGTACTTAGGCTCCCCAGTACAGCAGCCTGTCACCCAAAAGGGTCTTATATTCCACATGTGCAACTTCTCCTACAGTACATCCAGCTATGTAGTAACTCCTGCGCACCAGTTGTCCCTTGTACTGCATGCATGGGCCTGAATACACTGAAGAAACTGAACTGAAATGTCAACAAATTACACATAACTGAATAAGGTTATGTGTAAGCAATAATATAAGGTTGAACCTAATACTTTTATTTAAACATAATATTATTACGTTTAATTAACCTAATACACGTGTGTAAATTGTTGACATAATACATTTAATTAAAGTCAACGCTTCAGTTTTTTCAGTGATAGGAGCTTGTTGTTGTTAGTAGACAAACGTAAAAAGCAGTGGAGGCTCTGAGACCTGCTCACTGGGGTCTGTAGGGTCACCAGGAGTATCAGTGGATGGCAGAGCAAGGGGTAAGGCCAGGTGGGGGAAGTGCTGGGGGAGGGTTTGAGCAGGTGGTCCCAAAACACTGTACGCCTTCAGGGCAGAGAGCCCGTTGAGAACTGCTACATCCAGAAAGGTCACGCGGAGGGAGGAGGAGATGTCAAAGGTGAGGGTTTCTATCTCCATCGCAAGCCCCGCTGCTGGGGAGATGGTCATCTCCTGGTGGGGGTAGGGGGCCTCTGGGACTGCGCTGTGGATCCTGAGGGTCTGCAGATCCAGCAGAGCCAGGTACTGACTGTCCATTGGTTTTATTCCACAAAAAGACAACCGCAAATGGCCGACCCTGCTGCTGTTCAGAAGCTCCTCCAGGACCCAGAGTTCCTTCACCCACACGGTGAGGGTCCCGGGCTCTGTGAGGCCTGCGGGGGGGAGGGCGGAGCGGAGGGCCGTGTGGCACCTGCACAGCGAGTTGGCCAGAGCCTCGTCACAGTCCCGCAGCACCGCGGAGCAGCTGCAGTTCCGCAGGCTGGTGCCACTGTCAAACAGCAGCGTAGTATTGGCCGGCGGAGGAGCTTCAGAGGAGGGGGTGGAGCTGGTTGTCCGGGTGACGGGGGTCAGGAAGAACAGCAGCCAAAGTGACCATGGGAACAAGACAGAGGAGACGGTGTTTGGAGACATCTCCATGGAGATCCAACAGACTACATCTTCACAAAGTGGAGCGACAGGATTGTAGAGGGATGGGCAAAGCTGTAAAGAAATGTTTTCGAAGAATAAAGTTAGAATCAGAGTTAGCATACCTTATTCGGGGAAGCACATTGTAACAGCAAAAGTGAAGAGGCAAAATATTAATTAGGAGGCATGCATAAAATATTAGAGATAGAAATGATATGAATCACAATTTGCAAAAGTACCCATCCAGGTGGAAAACAATAAGTAATAGTTTTTTTTTTTTTAATAAAATAAAGTTAGTCGAGTGACGTAGTAGTCTAGTGTGATAGCAGCCAGGTAACAGTAGTGAAAGTAAAAGTATATATTGCAGAGTTATTACAGATTGTGTTAGCATAGTTGCGTAGTCTAAATTAGATTTAGAAGCCAGTAATAATAATAATAATAATAATAAAGCCGTATATTTAACTTTATATTGCACATACTTTAAAGTCTAGTTGTTAGCTCAGTCCTATTGTGAACCCGGAAATGTTGAGCACCCCAAAGTTTTATGTTAGAAATGTATAGTACGGATACCACATAAAAAATGCCGGGTGCTAACTATTGGTGGGATGTTGGGCAATTAACACAATTAGCACAAGTTGCATATTTAGCATTAATTAGCATTATAGCTTGTTGACAATAGTTAAAAAATGGCATTGCCGATTAGGTCGATTTTGGAGTGGTTTCAGGGATTATTGAGGATGCTGAATGCATTTCTGACATTTTCAGGATCCAAAATGGCAGTTTGAACCAGAAAGGCCATATTTGTACTACCGGTGGGCTGATTTTAATTCATTTTGGGTCGATTTTGAAGTTAAAGTGGACTCTCGATCATCTGGATTGGACAAATTGCTTATCCATTTGAAAAAGAATTGTCCACAGTAGAAGCAATCATTTTCATCTTCTGCTCTCTATATCCAATGGTTGCAACACTACTCATAGAAGTAAAAATCGGCCCCCTGAGAATACAAATATTGCAACTTTCTGGTTCCATTTTGGATCCTGAAAGAATCCTAACTAAACCCCAAAACCACTCAAAATCTGCAAACATATAATGTTCATTATTGCTGATTAACGCCATTTATGATAATTGTGCAAATTGCCAACATATGCAAGTTACCATCCAGCAGTTTCTTTGTGCTGGGGACCCGTATTATACATTTCTATCATAAAACGTTGGGGTACTCAACATTTCCGGGTTCACTAAGCTTGCAAGATTAATAATAGATGCTGCACAAAAGTGTGTTATAGTCTTTGTTGTTATATATGTGGGGGTCTACATTTACACAAACAACGAAAAAAAATACTGTGTAGTCCACAGCAGTACTCAAATTACATTTTGACGCTAACTCTCATCAAAGGGCCGAGCTCAGCATTATCCCCCCCCCCCTTGACTCACAGCAGTACCTTGCTTCACTAAAAGCACATGACACACAAATAAAGTATTTTACTCGCTCTGTGCCCTGTAGTAACCTGCTTCTGCTTTGCGTTTGTGTTTTTACAACATGTGGAGGCCAGCTTAAGACCCACAGCCAACTGAGCTCTCTATTTCCAGTACAGCACGCACGCACGCACGCACGCACACACACACACACACACACACACACACACACACACACACACACACACACACATATATATAATTGAGCCACTTATTTCTTGCTCTCCAATTTTACTAGAGAGAGGTCCTTCCAGGCCCCAGGCTACTGGGACGGCTGCTTATAAAACTTCCTGCGCCTTGCTGCACTGTGGTGAAATAGGCAGCGGCCAGCCACATTAAATGTTCCGAAATAATGAAACACTGGACTCTTTAATTCCCCGTCAGGAACGGTTGAAAAGAGGACTGAATAAGCAGTCTTGATTTCCAGAGAAAACTTCTCCCCACCCTTCTGTTTAAACAGCGAAGCACTTTCCACTGTAAAGCTGAACAAAGTCTACTTGAGTCTGAAAAACATTTGCCACATTTGGGACCAAAGATTAACATGTACTAGGCGCCTTACATTTTACTGATACATCCGACTGTATTGGGTTGAACGTTAAAAGTCTAAGGGATGTTTATTTCATTACAGGAACTTCGATTTTAGTCAACACATGCCACATTAAAAGGCTTAGCTGTTTTACCTGTACACTTGCATTTCAGTAATGCAAATGAAAAGTGCTGTTGTTGATTAGTTTTCATTTGTTAGATAGAAGATTGTGCCGCTGTATGCACTCTTTGGTCTTTGCAATAATACTGCCCCATTTCAATATTTTGGTAAAAAATTGAACCAACTGTGAAAGCGACTTCTCGCCGCAACTCAATTCTCCTGATTTTGATCCGTTATTGAAATTGAAACTGACAATAAACAGACATTGTTGTGAACAGGATAGCTTTGGTTGCACCGTTTAAGAATGTTAACAATATCATTTAAAAAAGGAATATTGAATTATAACAGTATCATGATTTGAGGATTAAAACATACGTTCTTTTTGTATAAGAAATGTTACTCTTATTCTTAACAAATAATAATATTGCGTACCACAGTAGTCCCTCTCTGAGAAACCCTGTGGTATATTAATCAACATTTGGATCAGAACCTGGCCTCATTTTTCTGTGCATTGCTCATTTACTTTATTTAGCAAATGTGCCAATATGGAAATACCAAGGAACATTTCCTACTTTGAAACTAACTTGCTATTATACCTAATTCTGAAACTAATTGAACCTGTGCAGAGTGAGGCAGATTCACATTCAACAATCCTTTTTTAACCAGATCAGACCATGTCTGCAGTGAGTTTGAGGGCGTGTTGTTGTAATTAACTTGTAATGTACACTAATCATTTACTCACAGACTTAATGTGTACATTTATATGCTGTGGGTGGTTTGGCTTGTTGACATTGACCTCTTTTCCCGTCATGCCTTTTCCTCACTCATGTGGGATTCTAACAAAGTATTTAGCGGGTTTACTGTACAAGACGTACGCACATTTGAGGTACCACTTCACTTTTCTCTCCAGGAAGCACCTCCCTTTTCTCTGCAGCCTGTGTACTATTCACATGGGCTACTTTTTAAAGGAATGTTCCCTGACTTTATTCCAGATTTCATGATATAACCTTTTCCCAGAATGTGAAAAAAAGCACTTCAATATTAAGAGTTTAGAAAAACCACCATGAAGGATAAAAAAAACTATAGTTTGAACTTTGGTTGTGGATAATGCATAATGTAGAAGAATAAAATCAACAACTAAATAAACACACACTGATTTAATTAATAATTCAACTATTATCTTATGTTTTGGATGAGTTTAAATCCAATTTTACAGTTCAAACTGAGAACAAGATCATTAACTCTATTAACTTCTGCGGAGCGCTGAGACACTCGCAAGCAAAATCCCCCGTATCTGGGCCCACAGAGTGTGCACACTTGAATTAAACACTGGCTTGGACAAGATACAAACTCCTGTCTTCTTCTCATTGAGAACTCAGTTTATCATTCATCCATAGAGCGTCCTGCATGGCCTGCTACTGGTCCCTCTAGCTCTGGTGCAGGTAATACGTCTACGCAGAACCGCTCATCCGGTCTACTAACACTTGTTGAGTGTATTGCTGGGAACCCCTGGACATGCAGTGTTGATGCAAATCAGCCTCGTTCTACGTTCGATATTATTAACCTTTAATCTAACAAATGTTAGTTTAAAGTATTAATGGAGACGGTTATGGTCTTCTCATCGCTCCATTTGCTGCTGTTTTTCCTCTCTTCACACCTGGAGTGGAGGCATCAATAGAAGTTCAAGTCCTAGGCTCCCTTACAGGAGGATTTAATCACTATGTCTGTTTTTTATTGAACTTTGTTTCATTTAAATGTAATCGCTAAACAAAATTGTGCATAAAAACAGGTGGATAGAAAATATATGAATGTAAATATCATGTTTTTATTCAGGAAATTACCATTTATATATATTACAGCTCTATGACCAAGTGGGAAAGAGTACAATCATTTGACTTTAAAGAGGCCCTATTCTGCTCACTCTGTTTCATATCAGTATTTAGTGTCTCTCCTGTGACATGTCTCCATGCTTTAATGTTCAACAAGCACCTCTTTTCACCCTCTGTCTGAAACCAGAGCCCAGTCTGCTCTGATTGGTTAGCTGGCCGGCTCTGTTGTGGTTGGTCAACCTCTTAGAGATGTCCCGCCCCTTAGCCTAGCAAGTACAATGTGATTGGGCACTAACCAATAGAAGCGCAAGTGATACATAGTGATACATAGTGATGTCATTATGTAAACAAATGAGTCTAATGGAGGCATTTCAGGCATGGGGTGGGGGGGGGGGGCTCACCCTGCTATAAATACTCTTGACTTCACTGAGGTTGGTTTACAGTAGCAGCTGCCCTCCACACACAGCCTGTCTCTCCATCCTTACCTCACTGCTTTTATTAGTCATGGTCTCCCAGCTGTTCCCAGCGTCTGGCTCTCCCACACAGTCACTTTCTCTCTTTTTCCATCTGCCTGTCCTTGCTTTCTCTACCACTCCCTTTTTCTCTCCTTGTCTCCCCTCTCCTCCTTTTTCTCTCTTTTCCCTTCCTTTCCTCCACCTCCATCTCTGTAATCCCTGAAACAAGCCCCAGCTGCAGGAACGGATGCTGAGAGAGTACAAAACTAAAATGAAACTAACCACTGAAAACACATTTCACAATACTTTAATGACAATGTGAGTCTTGCATTGGAAAAAGATTTATAATAATATTACCTTTAATTTCTAAATCATGTACTGTATGTACATAGAAAAATGTAAAAAATAAACTAGCTTAAACTTAACTTAAAAGTTATCTGTCAACCTATCAACATTTGGATCCTGTGTGTATGTGAAAGCGAGTGTGTGTGCGTGCATGGGGCACGCAGAAAGAGTTAAACAGGGTGAAGTGTGTGTGCGTGTGTGTGTGTGAGGAGAATCTTGAGGTGGCCGGGGCTCCACACGGCTTGTTAAAGGAGAGGCTCAACACATTCCTCTGACATCATGCTCCACCACAGGCACCCACCCTAATCCTCCCTTCCTCTCTC